ATGGCGACGGCAAGAAAAGGGAGAGAGCTTTTTACTATTTTGGAAACTAGCGCGGACACAGAAAGTACCACGGTGTGCGACAGTCAAGAGTCTCCGCTTAATCTTTCGGCCGATGTAAAGTGGTTTGAAATTCCTTACAGAAAGCCAGACTCGGACGAGGAAGAAGAAGTGCGCGAGGAAGAGGACGGCGAGGGGGAGAATGGATTCACGAGCACAGCAGCCGCGGCGGAGACTGCAGACGCGGCCAGCTTCATCGCAGGAGGAGGCTGCAACATAATTTTGGTCACTGGTAGTAGTAATGGTATCACGCACGACGAGGAGGAGTACGCAGAGGACTGTTATTATTCTACCTCCACTAACTGCTCTGATACCACCTCAAACGATTCGGATATTGATTTCTCCGATTTGGAGGAGGAGGAGCGCAGGAGTTTTTTCAGCTTTGAAGATGACTCGGACGACGACTGCACTTCTCCCGACTTCTGGGGCGAACCTGATCAGGTAATTTCAATCGAACAATTCTCTGCTGTCAGCGGCCCTCAGCACTCGCTGGGGGACGATGCTGACACCCGTGACTATTTCCGGATACTCTTCCCAGATTCTCTTTTTGAACACATGGTAGAACAAACAAACAAATACGCCCTCTATCGGCAAAGGAGGAGTGGAAAATCAGACCCCCACTGGCACCCCACTGATGCCAGGGAGATACAAGCTTTTGTGGGTCTGAACATTCTTATGGGTATCAATCAGCTTCCAGATACTGGCATGTACTGGGCCAGTGACATTTTCATTGGAAATGCAGGTTTTAAAAAAACAATGACAGCCAGGCGCTTTGAAAAGCTCACACAGTATCTCCAGCTGTGTGACCGTGAGTCTGAGCCTGTGCGTGGAGAGCGAGGGTACGATGCCCTCTTCAAAATCAGGCCTCTCCTTGATGTGGTGGAGAACACCATGTGGGACGCATACACGCCAAACCGCTGTTTGACTATAGACAAGTGTGCCATTGTCATGAAGGGACGTTTCTCCCCCACCCAGTACATGCCCCCCAAGCCCCTAAGGAAAGGGCTGACAGTGTGGATGCTGTGTGACTCGCGTACTGGCTACTGCCACCGGGCCAAGATATACGTAGGCAAGCCCAGTGAAGATGAGGAAGCGGCCTCCCTGGGCTCCAGGGTGGTGACCTCCCTGGTGCGCGGCCTGGAGGGTCAGTACCACCATCTCTTCATGGACAGCTTCTTCACCACAGTGCCCCTCCTCCAGCGGCTGCTGAGGGACGGACTGTACGCCTGCGGGCCCACCCAGCCGGAACGCAAAGGTTACCCAGAGGTCCTGCGCGCCGGTAATGTCGGAAAGCTGACTCAGGGTGAGTTCTACCAGTGCCAGCGTGGCAACCTGGTGGCTACAGTGACACGAGATGTCAAGGTGGTTAGCTGCCTTTCTACCAACTCTGCCCCGGGGATTGTTGGTATCAGTCCAGGCTGGCAGCAGGGTGAGACAGACGGGGAGAGTGAGGGGGACAGCATGAACTGCTCAGGTTTGTCCTTTGGTGTGCCTCGGCCTCTGCCCTTGCTGTTGTACCAGGAGAACATGAAGGGTGTGGAGCTGTGTGACCAGCTGAGGGAATGCTACCAGGTTGGCAGGCCATGTAAGAAGTGGTGGCGCTACTTCCTGTGGTTCTACGTCAATCTGTGCATCGTCAACGCCTACATCATCCTGAGGGAGAGCAGAGGGGGCGCTCCACCGGCGGGCTTCAGCGGCAAACAGTTCACCCAGCGCCACTTCCGGGTGCGTTTGGCGCAGCAGCTGATTGGGGACTACCAAGGGGCAAGGGGCATGGAGAGGGCAGCACGCAAGAGACATGCAGACTCACCAATAGAGTACGGACACCGCCTGGAGCGCATGTCAGAGCGCTCTCGTCGCTGCAGGAACTGCACCAACAAAGGACTGCGGCATGAAAGTGTGTTTGGATGCAAGATATGCAATGTCCACCTATGCAGGGGAGGGTGCTTCTCTGAGTTTCATAAATAACATTGACCTGCTCTTTGTTTTTATATCCTTTGTCTAATCAAGCAACTTGTGTCAATGGATTTTTTTAAACAGTAAAACCATTTCTTATTCCAAAGGTTACCACTACAAGTGCACAATATAGTCACACTTTATGTAGAGCTAGTTTTAGGATAGAAGTATTATTGCACGTATAATAAAGAAAATAAACAAAGAAACTAGATTATTTGATTTAGTATAGAATGTTTCGGCAACTTGCCTTCTGTAACATTGACAAAATTGCCTTGTGTCACTTTTTTATACGTTTAAAATAATGAGAAGTTTTATATGAAAAATAAGAATTCAAACTTTTCTGCACTTACATTAGATCAGAAAATGTTTATGGGAAGTTTATCTCTCTCCTTTTCCAAAATAAAAACTTCATTATGATGTACTTAACTGAATCACCTGTTTCTTTATGTGGTATTGAAGCATGTCCAACATCACCATAGATAATTTTAAAGAGGGATATCATTTTAATATAATAAAAAAAACATGACCTTTAAATTCAGTTACACTGGTTTGAAATGCCCTTCGCTTTGATAGCGCCTGATCCTTCACTCACATGAAAATCTGTGTCTCTGGCCCTTCAAGGGGACACAGCTTGGAGCAATTAGAGAGTAGAAAAAGCCCCTTAGTACTCTCCAGCCAACGAACCTAGTAATGCCATTTCTTTCTCCAACCAAACTACTTACACAGAGCCATCTGTGGCCCTATTCCACTGGGTCCACACTCAAAATGTGGTTCTTGTCACTGACATGGTTAGAAAAAGAGAGAAAGACTGGTTGTAGTATGAAGAAATACATTAATTAGAAATAATCATGTAAATTAGCATTATACAGTTAGTTAAAGCTGCTATCCCAAGAGACACAAACAATTTAATTTAAACATAATATTCTGTGTTCTAATAAATGTGTTTTCCATCAAAGCTTTTCTGTTCGCTGTTATCATGCGAGCTGCTGAAGGCTGCATGTAGGCAGAGATAGGCTGCTTCTGCAGGTCAGACTAGCTGTCTCCTGTGTCTCTTTCTGAGGTTCCTATCTCTCCCACTGTAGCACACGGTCTATCTCTCCCTCCTCAGGCTCTGCTGTGCCATCCTACACACACACACATACACACTACGCACACACCCTCCCTTTCCTTCCACTCCTCTCTCTTGCTCGCTTTCTCAGCCGTTCCCCAGCTGGGAGAGGGTTAGTCAACTGGACGGCCGTCCCGCTGATCTGCGGGAGCCCCTTTGGGGAGTTACCATGGCAACCGTGGCAGATGAAGACAGGGAGTCGCCAGCAGGCCCGCACGGTTGTCATGGTACTCGCTCTGGCTATGGAGGTGGGAGGTGCCAGAGGCCACACCTCCATACCCCTTCTCCAAAACCAGGCAAGGCTATGGTGTGTGTGTGTGTGTGTGTGTGTGTGTGTGTGTGTGTGTGTGTGTGTGTGTGTGTGTGTGTGTGTGTGTGTGTGTGTTTGTGTTTGTGTTTGTGTTTGTGTGCGTGTGACTATGTGTGTGTACATGTGAAAGGGAGGGAGCTGGCTGGCTGACGGCCTGCACACTGTACACGGAGCCAGACTAGTTACCAGGCAGGCTCTGCTACAGCACAGCCAACAACACAACTGCCTCCAAAAAAAAGAAGAAAATGACACGAAGATGCTGCTCTGGAGATGTCTTCATGCAGGTGTGGGATTCACACTGCATTATTCCCCGCCACCTTAAAAGTTTATATTTTTTTAATGAAGAACATGAACCATCCTGCTGCCTTGCAGAGTTCTCTACGCAGGTGTAGGAGGCAGGATTAGCTAAATCTGCACTGCGTTGGCACTCTGTAAAGCCTCGCGGACAATTTATATTCAAAATACAGCATTTAGACCGCATTGTTCCAACATTTGCTGTCAATGGCTGTCAGCTCTCCTCTACCCACATAGTCATTATACGATCAAAGTTATTACAGCTACTTACAATAAGTGATACATTAAAAACTGTTTGACATAGTATTTGAATGACATTTAATGTGTTTCCACTCAAATATTACAAGACAATTTAACAGGCTCAAGTAACACAAGATGACAAGTCAGTGCAGCATCATTTTTCAATTCCGTCACAGCAGAGGACATGTATACCAGAACCATGAGATCTGAAGCCTGTTTGTTGGTCACTCGTTTGATTTTTTGATTATTGATTTTGTGGGTAGAACAGTTTCAATTTTCTTCTCTGTTTTGTGGGTTTCATGTGAAATTGTAAAGACGTAATGTGCTCTCCCTGGGTAGGTTTGTGTGCGTGTGCTGTGTGCGCAGTGCGGTGCCACAATAGCCAGATGTAATGTTTCCAGGATGGATCCCAACCATAAAATACTCAGCTCTCAACATGTTTCCCTCCTGGGCAGGGAGAGATGTCTGAGGCTCTGACGAGAACATGGGCCTGGTTTCACTTAAAGGCTGGTTTGGTAACACATGTACTGTTAGAATCATGAATGTTCCTTTGTTCGATACTTTCCTCTGTTGCTAGAATGGATGAGCGTGAGAAACCTCTACCAACTAATTCTGAGATCTTACTGAGTCATTGTTTGTCCCGGTGCTGGGATGAATGTTCCCAACAGTCATAGTGAGAATAAAACAATTGGCTTCTTATGTGTTAATCCTTCATATCAGTCAAATGAATTACTGCCTCACACACAAGTGACTGAGTACATTTACTCAAGTGATGTTTCTACTAATTCATTATGTTTACTAGATTTTCATTTTATGCATCTTTATACATTCTAATTTGGCAGTAGCTGTTACTACATACTTCAGAAAAAAATATTTGACTTAATTTAAAAGCATGTTTTAAGGTTACACTGGAGAGACTTGAATGTATCGACATTGTAGTATTGGAACTTTATCTTAAGTAAAGGATTATTTGATTTAAGGGTACAACTTTACAATAAGACTACCCTTATTAAGGATTCATAAAGGGTTTATAATTAGGTTATGAATTAGGTTGTAAACACTTTATTAATCATTAAGAACCATTTATAAACCAGTTCTAACATAGTTTTCATACATCAACACAGGCTCACTATTTGGCAAGATGACTAAGCCTTGGCTACCTAGCTTACTTCGTCTTCATCAGCCATCAGCCTTGTTATCTGTTGTTCACTGAGTTGATTCTCCCCCCATCCATCTTGATGTTTCTTGGCATCTCTTTATGGCCATTTATTTACGAGTTACTAACATTTATAACTGCCAAAAGGGAGCCTTATTGTAAAGTGTAAAACACATTCCCATTTATTAATGAGTTACTACCATTTCTAATACGGCTTAGCAGTACAGATAAATGTGGGCTCACTATTTGGCAAGCAACCGGTCACAGTTGCCCTGTTTAGCTCATGTCTTATAAAAGCTTATTAATGATGTATAAAGTGTTCACAACCTAATTAATAAATGAATTACAAACTATTTGTAAACCCTTTATAAGGGTAGTCTTATTGTAAAGTGGTAACGATTTAAGTATACTCCAACAAATCAAACACTATACTGCTGGGTTAGTGACACACATCTCCATCTAGTGGACAAGAGAACATACAGGGAATTCTCAGGCACTTGAGGTATAATTTAACCTCATGTAAAAGCAGCTATTTTAAACAGTTGTTGTGTGTTGTTGTGTTAAGTCCTGTTTCTCCTTGTCATACAGCATACTGACGACTGGCTCTTGATCGTATGCACATGTTTAACCAGGAAGCTTCCTGAACCAGATGGATCTCTTTGGTTTTTATTGATGTGGTTTTGGGGAGCCCAACAGAATGACCAGAGGAAGTTTGATCTCTGAGTCTCTTGCCAGAGGGATGTCAAGAGTGACCTGCAACCAGAAAATTACTTTTAATTACTTTAATTTGTCTCTGTACTGTATCTTCTTCCCTTCTTTTCATTGCGCAGTGGGCATTTCTTGCTCTAGATCTCGGTCACAACATTAAAGTGTATTCTAAATACCTAAACATTTAAAGCGGATAGAAGGACAGAACAAGAAAGATGACACTGTGTCCTATACAGCATGTACCCATCATCAGTGTGTGACAAGCCATATAATCCTCCCTCTTTCGTTCCCCGTTTCTCCCCCTCATTCAGCCACTGTGTGGTGCTATTGACATGATGCCTTTTCTTAGCAGATGTGTATTTAGAACCACTGTAAATCCAAGTAGAGTGTTTTTTATTTTACAGATGACACAATTGTAATACCTTGAGTCTGTACTCGAGTTTCATCAGGCAGCAGTTGAAGAAGGTAGGGTGGAGCTGTGGAGGGATACTCAAAACTTTGGTTATAGTCAAAGTGCTTTCCGCTGGAACAGCGTCTCCTTGCGTAAAGAGGACCTCATTTGTGTGCACTATTCTCTTTGTCTGAGCAACAAAGGTTTGCTTTTCACTCAGGTAGAATTTGGGTGTTACCGCACGTGCAGAGTCATTGAGTACCTCCACAGAGATTCCAATTGCGTCACCTGAATTTGGGAGCAACAATACATCATTAATATTTTAGTAAAGGCCATTCAACAAATGTATTCTTTATAAAGTCTATTTACCTTGCTTTACTCCCATTTTTTCTGAAGTTACATTCACAGTAACCTTTGAGGAGCCATAAAATGATATCCTGGTTGCATATTGTTGTTCCTACAAAGGAAGCACATACTCTGTCAGGAAATTAATCGTAAACTTAAATAGAAACTGACATAAAAGCTGAAGTCAAATAAAAAGCAATTCCAAACCTTTAGTCCGATAATTATCATATCTGATTTGGAGGCAAAGGGAAACTCAGACTTGGTCAGAAAAGGGACCTCAGTCTTAGTTTTGTAGACAAGCCAGATGGATTGAGTCAGCTTTGCTCGCAAACTGTATGTAATGGTGCCCCATTTCCCCTTGTAAGATGAAGGCATATCTCTGTAGGGGAAAACATCCAAATACATATTATAGGAGAACATTTATTTAACCAGCTGGTACAACGTTTTTACTATGGATATAAATATTCCATGCAAAGTGTTAGTTTAAAGCACACCCACATATTTGGAATCACAAAGGTGAATGGATAGACATTTCTCCCATGGCGGATGATTTCTGAACCTTAAGAAAAAAGAAGATTTTTAAGATGCAAATGCTTTGTTTAACAGACTCTAACAGACAGTATACATCAATTCAAAAAGTATTTCCTCCATTTTGCCCAATAGAGAGAACATACTAACCATCTCCTTTGTTTTTATCCTGAAGAATAATATGTTCAAAATAAAAGTATTTCTTCTTGTCGCTGTGTGTCCCTGTGGCTTGTCCTTCTTGGTCCTGCCATGTCACCTTAGCTTTTCCTTTGGCTTCGACCAATAAGCTCTGCACTTTGGTTTCCTTGCTGGTCTCAACCGTCACCCTGCCAGAGAGGATGTCCCCGGGAGAGAAGGTGCCTCGTTCATTCACTTTTTTGTAATCCACCGAGAGATGCTTTACAGTCATGATAGGGCTGCATCAAATAATCATCCCAAAAGTAATGGTGTTAAAGTACAACAACGATCCTCCTTTTTGTACAAAATGACTCCTGTGAATGCACTGGAAGCAGGTCTGAATTGAAGTGAGGCCTGTTGTTGATGAATAAGGATCACCTGGTGTACGCACTGTAGCAGTGGATCTCCTGAAGCTGTATCCGTGTCAGATCACGTGATCAAGAGCTGCAGGTGTCACTTTCACACAGGTAACTCTAGCCACCAGACTTGGAGCCTAAAGTTGGCCAAATTAATAAAGATGAAATTAAAGAGGACATATTATGCTTATTTTGAGGTTCATATTTGTATTTTGAGACTCTACTGTGACATGTTTTCAGTCTTTAATGTCCAAAAGGTGCTTTATTTTTCTCATACTGCCTGTGCTGCAGCACCTCTTTTCACCCTCTGTCTGAAACCCGAGCCCAGTCTGCTCGGATTGGTTAGCTGTCCGGCTCTGTTGTGATTAGTCAACCGCTCAGAGATGTCCCGCCCCTTAGTCTATTGCTTACAATGTTTTGGAGCACTAGCCAATAGAAGGGCAAGTGTTATATAGTGATGTCACGTTACAGAAGTAAACAAAGGAGTGGAGGCGTTTCAGGCAGGGGGGTGGGGGGGGGGGGTCGTGTGTGTGAGAGAAAATCCCTCTGGCGTGAACTTTGTAGACCATTTAAATGCACAAATACAAATAAACAAATACATTTGTGAGATAACATTTTATGAATCATGTTGAATTTCCCGTCTCATTGAAGACTGTACAAAGTTGTTGTACTGTATGTTCAGTATTTACATAACACTCAAATTATGATCAATTCACAAACAAATCACAATAACAAAATGTGGCATCAACAAGAATGGAAAATGACAAATAATCGTATTGCCACTGGAATAAGCAGTTTGATGTCAAGAAGCCTTGATACCACATCATCTCCAAACAAATGTATGATGCTTGAGCCAATAATAAAGGTAGTAGCCTATTTGTGGTAAACAAAGACAATATCATTCATTCTCCTGTATGTAATGTTGATACTGTATTTAACAGTCGATCATGACAATATTATAGAAGAGCAATGCCAAATTGATGCCGTATTTACTTTCCAGTCCAGTATTGGTTAGCGGGGTACATTGCATGTGCTTCATAGGGAGGTGGAGGATCCATAGCGCTGGCGGCTGCTGCTGGTCGGTGTGGTGCCGGGCTCCAGGGGGCTTGTTCTAGGTTCCCAAATCCATCAAACCCAAAGCCAGCATCAGAATGTTGGTGTTGGTTAGGATTATACTCAGAGGCAGGTAGGATCACTATCGGGAGTTTGATCTCTGGGTCTGAAGCATATTTGACATCTAGATGGACCTGTGAAAACAAATGTTGATAGTATATAGTAATCATATTTTGTTTCTACTTCTGTTTCTTTACATCATGTGCCCATAACCAAGTCTCTTGGCAAACACCATGAACAATGCAACAAGTCCTCCAACTCATACGACCAAGTAGGTCTTGTTCAAGCCCTTATTACGACCAAATAGGTTGATTGTTCAAGCGCTTATTACGACCTATAATCACGTTTGAAAGTTTTCGACCTCTAGTGCTCCTGTTGAATGCAAACGCTCCGGAGGGTCATATATTCACAAATAACCCTCTCTGGAAATTGTAGAATAGTTTGGCCATTAAAATTCTTTTTGATTAAATTTCTAGCGAGAAGTGTATATTGTACTTTTAGAATCCACGTCCATTCGATGTGTAGGATCTATAGTTTGAAGATGATTTGAGGTCTCGCCAGGAGAACGTGTGAGGCAGCGTCCATGTAAAGTTAGCGTCAACCCTCACAGGGTGAAAACAGTATTTCCGGTCTCGAAGTTTTCATAATAAAACCATATTCCCCTCACTGTCAAATTATTTTAAAGCTATATCTGCAGTACTCATCCACTAAAAAACATCAGTTCATCCTTGTTAATTACACAATATTAATTGGTTTCAATTGTGTACACTGCTTTTGTGTTTTTCCCATAGGTTTTTCCCTTTCGATTCTGGGAGACACCTTTATTTAGGAGGTTTTGATAAACATCGAACTACCCATAATCCTCAGCTATCCTTGAAGCTCGGTAATTGGATGTTTTAGCCGCAATGCACGTTGGGATATGCTGTTTATGCGATGTGAAATCCGAAAACATAAAATTACATATTTTTTTACACATCTGCCTTAGTTCTTTATTTATAGAGCCTTGATTAGAAGACCTTTGGACAAACTGGAAGAACTGCCGCCGAAACTGAATATGTGACGTGGATAATAAATATATCAGCAATTAAACAACATCTTCAACTTCTCTTCACACTCATACGTCTCCTCGCAGTATCAATAGTAATTTGGCTGACTTTTATATTTGATCCAATTGGTAGATAGGCTATTTACACCATAACGGTGCACAGCTGATAGAAAAGGACTTGTAGTTTTTAAAGATATTACTGATTTTCTTTGCATTAAAGAATGTACTGAGTTGAGAGAATAGTCAGGGGTTTTGGGTGATGGGAGACACATCTATGAATTCAGAATTTCAATAGCACCATTAAATGAGGGATATACCTTTCTGTCTATGATGTTATACAAATCAGATATTAATGTGTAGAACTACAATATGTGAAATAGTATAGCAATATCCTG